AATATACCAACCCGAAAAGGTAGGGTGTCAACTGGACAAAAATCATCAGCAATTTACGGGTTAAGGATAAAAAATAAAAAGCTCTTCGTTGGCAGAAGTATAATACAAGGAATGAATTGCCAGTTCTCTAATGAATCATCATAAAATATGCAGTAAACACTCGCAAAAAACAAAAATGTCTCACAAATAAGTCAAGAATGCAAAACGCTCTAATTCATTTTCCGGGAACATTAAAATGCTTGTCACGAAATAAGCGATATATTCATTAGAAATTCTAAATGTGATGATGATAATTTTATCACGCTCTTTAAGCAAGGGACTTGCATCACTGCGCAATTTAACAAGATGCATTTTGTGTTGGTGTTGGTGTATTTAATTATGGCAAAGCACACTAGGGCTATCTGCCTAAGGGGAGGGATGCCTTTCGTGGAGGACTTTCTAAGGGAAATTGGCTCGTATACACGTTACACATGGGGAAAACCACGAAAACACCCATGCAGCCAGCCCGTTCGCGGGATTCGAACCTCAGACCGAACTACCAGTGTTCAGCGACTTTACCGCTCGGCCGCTGGTGGGCCTAGATGCATTTTGTGACTGTTTTGTTTAGTTTTACTTTTCATAATAATTTATTTGACAGAAAGAAAAGAGGTTAATTTTTCCGAAAAATGATAAATAACGGGTTAAAGAAAACTGCCTAAAGCTTAATACTTCTGTGACAGAGAACTTCAAATGAAAGTGTCTAAATAGAGAACGCCCTTTCTAATCAGATAATAGAAAGAGAAAAAGTCAAGAAACCTATTCCCATTTATTTAAACAAACTAAATACTAAAACAAATATCATCGTTTGATTATATTAAATGTTTAGACAAAGGAGAAAACTTCAATACAAGTTATTAATTCTAGATTCTGCAAAATTGCAATTCATTATAAATAATCCTTTTTTTGCAAGGAATTGGCGAAATTTACAAGGCGAAGGCCAGGAAAGTGAATGTTTTTACGGTTTGAAAGATTTCACGATACGTTTTGAGGGTGAGGATTTACTCTAGCATTTAAAGGAGGTAAAATTACCTTATACGAAGCACTATCATAGGTCAACAGCATGAAACAGAATAAGGAATTTGTTTTCGTAACTAATTGCCGAAATGGATACGCTAATCTGTTTCAGCCATTTTTAAGTTTATATGTACACAGGTAGATTATTTTAACATGACAAGTACTCGAGGACTATTTGCCAAAAAGAGGGGATGTCTTCATAGAGGGCTTTCTAAAGAAACCTTGCTCGCATCCACGTTACCATGTTGGAGAAACCAACCATGTAGCCAACCTATTCGCCTGGTCTTGCTATTAATCGGTCAGTGGTGAGGCTGCATAAATCTACAAGATTTATAGATGAAATCATCCTTCTTAGCAGCTTTATTTTTTGGCCGATCATTACCTAAGACAGTATTTATGAGTATTTTTAATTTGCACTTTTAATTCCACCCTAATTTTAGAGCCCACCAGCGGCTGAGCGGAAAAGTCGCTCAAAACTGTTAGTTATACCAAAGCTCGAAACACGTCTAAAGGGCTGACTGCATGGGCGTTTTCTTGGTCTTTCTGATGTGTAAAGTGGATACGAGTCAATTCCCCTCAGAAAGTTCTCTACAAAGGTATCCCTTCTCTCAGACAGGGCTCTCGTGTGTTTCGCCAATAGTTAAATAAACCAAATCAAATCAGTCCACCACTAATAAAAGTATCTAAAAAATCCAATAACTTATCACTAAAGTATTCACTAAGCTGTGGTTTTAAGACTTTTAAACTCTAAAATTATGTTATCAGAGGAGAAAATTGTGTTTTCTTTATACATACACAGTTCTAATCAAATTCGAATTATATTTCTGTTAATTTATAAAAGAATGTTTCTGGGAATAAGCCCTGCGAACTGGCACTGGTCCAGGAAATAAGCTACACACTGGGTCCAGCAAATACGGCACAAATTTCAGCTACAACTACCACTTTAATTTAGCTATTAATGCACTTTTATTCACTATAACTGACTAGCAACCTTTAATCGAAACCTCATTGAACTACCAGATTTCTCCGTTTTCATAGATTATTTGAGTTATGGCAAGGTACACGAGGTCTGTCTACTTAAGGGGAGGTATTTTTAATAACGGAGAAAGTTTTAAAACAAACCAGCTCTTATTTACAACATATAAGGAAAACCTGAAATCACACGAAGTCCGTCTACTTAAGGGGAGCGATTTCTCAATAACGGAGAAAGTTCTAAAACAAAACAGCTCTTATTTACAACATATAAGAAAACCTGAAATCACTCATGCAGCTAAATCCGTTCGCAGGGATTCAAATCCGAGTTGAAATACCAGTATTCAGCGATTTTTTAATTAAATACGGCTAAGCCTACTAGAATTACAATATCTTCCAGAAGAAAAGCTGAGTTTGTTTTAAACATGGAACAAAACACTAAAATACACAATCAGCTAACCTGATTACCATGATTCGAACTCAAGTCAGATTACCATTTTCCAATAGTCTTCTCGATTTGGCTACCAGAATTCGTATTAATTGGCTATAAACTAATTTCTGCTAGAGTACTAATATAGGAACTTATTATTGAAGTAAATATTAGAACTGATAAACCGGTGAATTATCTTTAAATTTTATGTGTATTATATGGAATTAAATTTTTGATCAAGGCAATAATTTCGAATTACAGAGCTAGAAATTTTCAAAAATTAAAACTATCTAATTTTGATTTTCTGATAGAGACATTAATAAATAACGGGATAAAAATTTAACAACAAAGTATATTTTAATAACTTAAGATTGAAGAGACTTCCAATTAAACCTTTTTATATAGTTGTAAAAGTACTAATACTTTCAGTAGTTATTAAAACTACATATGAATTATATAGTTGTAAAAGTACTAATACTTTCAGTAGTTATTAAAACTACATATGAATTATATAGTTGTAAAAGTACTAATACTTTCAGTAGTTATTAAAACTACATATGAATTTTACAGGTGTTAAAAAAATAGAATTCTTTTTCAATTTTACATAAACATTTTTGGATGCTTCTGTAACCTGAGCAAAACAGCAAAACTTGGATCTCATGCCGTCCAGACGGGAGCGTGGCAAGTGACTCTGACTGCCGTACCGAAGGGCCCGGGTTCGATTCTTAGAAAATTATGAACGTAAACTGTCTGTCCTTTCATAGGAGGTAACGGTAACAGCCTATTAGGTACCTACATAATAAAATGACCAATAGCTTCTGGTCTTGGTAGTGGCCAAAGCCTAAAATGGCTAGTGCCTGCCATATATATATATATATATTAAACTGCAAAGAAATATCTGAAATTAATTTCTCAATAGTCATCGCATTCCCTCGTGTGTGCTTCCGTAGTGTAACTAGTGCCACAATTAAGTATTAACTGAAAATCTGTGGTTCAAATTTCAGCGAGATTACAGCCTATTTTTCAGGTATCCCACTTCGAAAAAAATTTAATGCTTCTACAAACTCAGTATGAGTGAAACTCAAAAATATTATGATGATTTTCGTCATTTTCACTCAAGCAGAAACTCAAATATATCAAGACTACATACCTTGTAACTTACAAACAGGATGATAAATAAACGAATAGGTAAAACTATCACAACTAACTGCACGTATGAAAATACGGAATCATATTCAAAACTTACACAAAAATAGGTTATCTCAATATGGCAAAGCGTAAGAGGACTATCTACCTAAGAAAAGGAAGCCTTCGTGAAAGACTTTCTAAAATAAAGTAGCTCGCATACAAGTTACACAAAAGCAAAATTACGAAAACCAACTATGCAGTCAGCCCGTTCGTTTGGACTCATATCCGGGTTGAGCCACCAGAATTCTGTGATTTTTTAAAACTATGTCATTGATGAGACATACAAAAAGATAGAAGAAATTAAAGAACTAATTAAAGGATGGAAATCCAGAAAATTACTTTGTCCTTCCGTAAAAATTAGCAAAACAAATTTAGTTTCAAATTCTTTGTATCCTTTGTCATAAGCAACCCTTTATTAAAATAAGTTTTAAAAAATCCTTAATTAGTCAGATACGTAAAGTTTAAAAATCATTCAGTAAAACTGTATGCCGATTATACCTGTTAAAATCTGCGTTTATGCAGAAGCAATATGTTTAAAATTCTCCGTGGGTTCTTTTAATACGAATTCACTCTAACGCAAAACGAGATGTATCTTGTAGTAAACATTTAAATTTACATACGTTAAGGGGACTCATACACCTTAACCTTTCATGATCTTCGAATATGTGACTGTTGCAAGAATTGGGATATTTTATTTTAAAAAGAAATTACTTCCACCTTTTTACAGCTGACAACATAATATAGCTGCTTTCTGAAATAGTGACCAGAAAGTTTGTGTTGCCACAAATATTTTTGTAATTTAATTTTCTTTGTGACAAAATATTTCGCTATGTTTCCACCTTGCGCGCATGATATTTTAAAAATGGCTAATGGTACATACTTGAAATTGGATGGAATTCTTTATATAGGCACTATTTTCTAACTGAACCAACAATCTGATGAATATTTTAATACTGAAAGATTTTATGGACGAAAACATTAAAAATTTTGTTAATAAAATACATTTTACAAACTCAACTCCAAATAAAATAAAAATTTAACATGAATTTTTAGAATTTTAGGTTCACAGTAGTTTCCAAATGTTATAAGAGCTATATACTAAATATGGAAGCGCAAGTTGGAAACATGACGAAAAATGTTGTCACAAAGCGGATTAAATTATAAAAATATTTGTAGCAACACAAACTTTCTGATTACTATTTCAGAAAGCAGCAATATTATGTAGTCAGCTGCAAAAAGTTGGTAGTAATTGCATTTAAAATAAATAAGTTATCCCCATTCTTGCAACAGTCACCTATTCGAACATCTTATGGGTTTTAAGGTGTAAGAGTCCCCTTAAATCACCAATACTACGTACCGCCGCCATTACTGTAGCAAAGGTATGGAAACCTCCAGACATTTCCTAGTCCTACAGAGTAGCCTAGCAGAGAGAGTAAGAAATCAAATTTTCCCGTCCATGTGCCTCTTTCTACTTCCGCTTCCGAGTATTGGTAGCTTCTGTCATCCTCGTCACCCCTCGGAGATAAAGGGACTTGGCTGCTGACTCGAGGAAACTCCTTGTCCAGTTCATTCTGAAAGGATAAAATAAACGAAAGTTATGTTTGGAGCTGACACATGTACTACATTCAAAACATTATGTTTAATGCATTTTTTAAATACAAAATCCATGAAATTTCACTTGTTTGAAAATTAATAGATTTACTAACTTATTATAATATGACTTATACACGAAACGAAATTGGAAAATTTGTAGCTTTTACCATAAATAATCTAGAGGACTACACAATTTTTTTTTACATTTTGCACTTCCGGTACTTCTGGAAACACACATAATATGTTAATAAATAAATTAAAACGTTATTATTTCGAGTTTCAAATAAAAGAAAGAATAACCAAGAAAATTAAAATTTATTTGGATTATTTGAATTACGCCAAAGCTCACAAGGATTAAGGGCACGGATGCCTTTATGGAAGATTTTCTAACGGAAACTAAGTCACATTCACGTCACCTACAGAGAAATTTACAAAACCTGCCATACAGTATTTGCTGTGGTTCTGAACTATCAGTCTTCAGCGGTCTTACTGATCGACCGCTGGTAGATTTCAAAGAGATTAAAGGTTCTTAGCGGTTGTAACCTCCATCCAAAGTAAAATTATCTTCACTTTTGCATCAATTCCTCGTTTCTTCGTCAGTTCTGATGAGTGGCTAGGTGTTTCCTTTGGCCAAGACGCAGATTTCGTTATTTGTATGGCCTCAGTCTTGATAATTTACATTGTCTACTTTGTTTACACTTTTCGTTAAAAACAGCCTTAAAGCTTGTCCCATATTAAAAATTATATAATGTCTTAAAACGTAATATATTGGGTTGGCAAATTAATTTATCAATTGATTACTTTATAAAATGCTCATCTTTTAAAATGGCGAGAATTGAAACGGAAGATAAATGCACTGAAGACGGCAGTAATGGGAATTTGACACAATGATGCATTAGATAACAGATGTATCAAATAGTGATCCTCATGCTGATGATATTATTCAACTATTATGGAAAAAACTGAATAACAATGATTTCATAGAGTTCGTTCACTTGGCCGATTACAGAAAAGAGCGCATTGTTCCCCCCTTCATACCTTCTCAACGCGAGTTTGATAATCCAACAACTTCCTCAGCATATCTGTAAGCAGATCGGCTCCTTTGCCGTTGCTGCGTCCACGCAGTAAAGCGTCTCGATGCCCACGAAGGCTCACCTCCCGGTGCTGATGCCATGGAGGACGTAGTGAGCCTTGAACGGCTACCAAAATCACGTAATAAGATCTCGTGCATGTGAAATAAATAAGGGGACGTTGTATGACAGCGGCTTCCACCGCATTTTCAATTGTGCGCTATCACTGGCGTATTCGAGTTGCTTGTAACTCGAACGGTCAGTGAAATAACAGAAATTACCATTAATACGGTAATTTGACATGCATGACTTAATCTTTGAAACAAGCATGTGACTATTGTGGCAGGATCAACTAGCATGATCAGCTAGTTGATCCTGCCAATAGTCACATGCTTGTCTCAAAGATTAAGTCATTCATGTCAAATTACCGTATTAAGGTGAAACCGCCAATGATTCGAGATATAATAATTTGATACTTTGGTGGTTATTCTGGTATGCAACGGGAGATGCACTACTCCTGCTCTTTCCAGATTCCTAAATGAGTCCCCTTAGGGTCTTGACGTATGTAAAAGTCCAAAGAAGAAGTCGAGATAGCCTTGTAAAAAAAGAGAAGGGAAGCTCTGAGCTTCGGTAAGCAGGAAACCATTACTAGGGCAGCTGCAGAAGGACAGGGAAGTGAGGAAAGCTGGCTGGAAACTCGTGAAGAGGTTTGTCGATTCCAAAACGTTGTGAGCTTGCGAACTACTGTACAATATGAAAAACAATTCATGTATGCAGAAACATTAAAGAAAAATTTTACGTACACTATAAAATAACATCTATTCCGACAAAACCGCAAATAAACGGTAGTCATTGCTTCTTGAGTAAATAACAGGAAGAAATAATATGGGATAACTTATGTACAGCAACAACGTTTTAGAACTGATCTTTAAGAGCAAAACAATGAAAATACCATGAGTTTGCTGGTCTCTGGTAGCCAGGACGTGACTCGAGATGTTTTCGTGGGTATGTTTATATAAAAATGTCGATCATTTTCATGCTACACAAGCGGAAAAACACGAAAGTGGCCATGCAAGCAATGTTTTAACCTTGGCTAAGAACTATAATACTTGATGATCGGGCACACTTGGCTTCTTATAGGCATTTTTTTTTTTTTAATCAGAAGTAATACAATAATGCTATATGTACTGAAGACTTTTAATTTTAGAATTCACAGTTATACGTGAAAGGATTTCATAGTGTATGAAACAGTAATGCGCAAGACTATTCTACCGTTTTGAAATTTATTCAGAGCATGGCGCGAAAATAGGTAAAGCTGCCGAGCACTTAAATCACGTAAAACAGAGTGAGAATGATTTGAAATGTTGTTTGAACGAGAGCAAAGGAAAATAGATACTTCGGAAAGGTATAATAGACGGTTACACTTCTGAATACTGGTAGATCAACTTCGGTTAAAACCCAGGCCAAAGGGCATGCTGTGTGGTTAGTTTTCATAGTTTTCCCCATTCGCAATTTGAATATCATTTAATTTTCCTTAGAAGGTCCTCCCCGAAGGCGTCTTTCCTTTCAGGCAGACAGCCCTCTCGTAGTTTGTAATGATACATTCTAATTCAATTATAAAATTAAAAATCTACTTTAGAGACTAAACAATTCACGAAGAAAATAGAGAAATATTGAAAAAATTCAAATCCAAGAAAAATTAGTATGTATACCAAAAGAAATCTAAATTTCAGTTTTAATTCTGATCTGTGAGATAATCATGTAATAAACTACAAAAAGTCGATGTGTTATTAAATTAGAATAAAGCTGATCGTTTTCCTTGCAGTGGTATTGATTGAAATCTCCGATTTTATAAACTGCTTAATCAAATTAAAATATGGAAGAAATTGAGACAAAGGATTTTTATCTGCCTTTCCTCATATTTCTTTGAATTGCCTTCACACTTGAACTAACATAGAATTTAGACTATTCATGAAATTCTCTGCAGCAATTACCTTAGTTAATATCTTTAAATTTTATCAAAAACAATTTATTTTGCAGAAAGTTATCTGAAATGTTTACTAAAGTTTTCAATGGAGGAACACAAATGTCACAAAATATTACTTCACATCTCGAGATAAAAACGTGTACTGCCTTTATAGAATATTATTGGTATCTTATAATAGAAAGCATATAATGCAAAAAAAAATCTTATAATAGATATAAAAGTAGCATTTTATTATAGAAAACAATACGAAGTGTTACTGAAGAAAAGGTATAAATAATATAAATTGGCTTAATTTTGGAGAAATGTTTGAATAGGTCTTCATTGTTTCTCTTCTGCAGACGCACAGCTTTTCAGGAAAATTATGCCAATTTATCGAGCTATTTATAGCCTTCATTAAATTATTTCTTCATATAATATATATATATATAATATGTGTGTGTGTGTGTGTGTGTGTATTTGCTTCAAAACAAAAGTGCTCGTTTGAGAGGAATTTGCCATGCTATCTTAATTTTGCTGCTCACTCTATAAAAGATCTAAATAGGAGTGAGTGATTTCGTTTATTGAAATACTTAAATTTTTATTAATATTATGCTTATAACACAAAACGGGATTATATTCATAAAATCTTCGCAATTTACCTCGGAACAATTATTTTAGAAAACGTAATTTAACATATATAAGCCTTATTTTTATTCCGATCGATTTTTTCCTGGCATAAAGCTTTCGGATATCTTTAAATATAGCAAATAAAGCTTGTAGTCGTTAATTAAACGAATACAGTAAAATCATATGAGGACTCTGCGTGAGGAAACATATATCGAAGTAGAAAGTTCTAGGCGGAACTGACTCATATTCGCATTGTCCTTAAGACAATTTACAGAAACTTTTTGCTCCCATCTGAAAACCGAGTCTGAATAAAAGTTATCAATGCTCAGCTATCCTATTCATCTAGGTAATTTTTAACACGATTGCTGAATTTTCCATTCTGAATGATCATCGCCAGTGTTCAATCTAATATTGTTTTCTAATTCTACATCTGTTGCATGCAGATTGACTAAAGGCATAAAACCCTAAACCGGAACATAAAAAAATTCAATAAAATGTAAAGCCAAAAAGTGTACATTTTACTAATATATAATAATAATACTGAGCTCACCGAGCCTGGTAACAGGGTGCGAATGTGTATATATATATATATATATATATATATATACATACGTTTGGTATGGCTGATTGCAACGAAAAAGGAAGATGCACAACTAAATGTCATAAAAAATGTACAAAATTTCAACGTTTCACGGCTAATCGTTTTACCTACTAACGTACGTACAGGAGTAACGAAAAAGTCTCTTCTAAATCCATTTTGAATCCATTTTAGAGTAGGTTTTAGAAAAATGAGTGCTTTGTTCTGTTCGTACATACAGATGTAACCCAAAACAATCGTTCAAATATATTCGAGAGCAGTCAAAATGGTTATTTTCGACTTCCATTACTTCGCACAAGGAAGTAATGAACATTTAGTTTGTTGATAAATTGTCTGTACTAAAGAATGCGATGGTTATCTACTATACTTTCGATTGAATCTGACTGGCATTCCCGTTCTCAGAGAAATCTACCAAATCCCATTTAGCCAAACGTCAGCTTAAAACACACTATGAAACGAAATATACATATATACGTGCGTTCCCCTCGGTTACTAACCGATCGCTCAAACAATGTTAAAGGTGCTTTTTCAAATTTAAACTTTTCGGGTTTAGAATAAATAACGTAGTTTTTAAAGAACAAGTTACATGCGGTCTTTCTAATAAAAGAGCTAATTAATTAGTTACGGCGAAAGCACATGGTGTAAATTTATGTGAAGAAGGAAGTCATCCAAGAAACAAATGAGAGAGAGAAGTTCATATTTACTTGGAGCCAAACG